AGCCTGAAGAAGAACGAAATGTTATCATTCGCTGTGTAAAATGGATGGAATTGAGAGAACTCATTTGAGTTGAGGTTAGCCTGGCCCAAAAGACCAAAAATCATATGTTCTCCCTCTTATGTGGACATTAGATCAAGGGCAAACACAACAAGGGGATTGGACTTTGAGCACATGATAAAAGCGAGAGCACACAAGGGAGGGGTGAGGATAGGTAAGACACCTAAAAAATTAGCTAGCATTTGCTGCCCTCAACACAAAGAAACTAAAGCAGATACCTTAAAAGCAACTGAGGCCAATAGGAATATGGGACCAGGAACTAGAGAAAAGTTAGATCAAAAAGAATTAACCTAGAAGGAAACACACACATAGGAAATTAATGTGAGTCAACTCCCTGTATAGCTATCCTTATCTCAACCTGCAAAAACCCTTGTTCCTTCCTATTATTGCTTATACTCTGTCTTCAACAAAATTAGAGATAAGGGCAAAATAGTTTCTGCTGGTATTGAGTCGGGGGGAGAGGGAGGTGCGAGTGGGGGTAAGGGAGGGGGTGGGGGCAGCGGGGAGAAATGACCCCAGCCTTGTATGCACATATGAATAATAAAAGAATTTAAAAAAAAGAGAGAGAAATAAGACCAGCTTCACAGAATCACTGTGAGGGCTGCATTAAAGGAAATACGTGTATATGTAAGTAAAGCATTGAACAGTGTGGGAATACAGCACAAAACACATGGTCTATGACACTTCCTAAATCTTACTGTTTTATCAAATTTGTCAGTGAAAATAATGAAACAGAAAAAAAAATAAAGATTTGAGAATTGAGGGGGCACCCATAATGAAGGAAAGGTAGGATGTTAAATGTTTCCAGGAGCCAAGCTACTTAGGTTTAAACCTGCTCTGCTATCTATTGCACCCGTGTGCTTACTGCCAGCCTTGCTGTACCTTGGCATCTCCACCTACATAATAAGGTTGTTTTAGGAGTTAAATGAGTTAATCTGGGGTCAACTTATTTTATTGCTGCTTGACTCATAGCCCTAGGCAAGATTTAGCATGGGATATGGCCCTGGGGTACTGAGACAGTGGTCATACTAGCAATGGAAATTATAGTAGAAAGTGTCCAAGTGTTCCATTCTTATTCACTTTTTTCTTCTTGAGCTGGACTTAAAAGGACTATCTCTCCCGACTGCCCTCTTGGCTCTCCTAATGCACTGTATGAACCAGTTGCTGATTAAACTTTTCCTTCCTGTCCTTGCTCTTAGGATTTAACACATCTTTTTGGGCCATCGCTGTGTTTCTTGACCTCATCTTTGGCTCTACATACCTTATCCATTCCCCTTTGCTTCACCATCCATAGTAGATGGTCAGCCCTGCTCTTGCCTCTGAGTCCCTTCTTGGAGTCTCAGTGGGAGTCAGTGCACAGTGAGAGTCAAAGGCACAGTGGGAATGGCTTCATTTACAGAAGACAGGATAAAAGGTTTTTGATTTTGAGATATGCAGAGTTTGACATTATCTGGACTCCTACAGGTAGTTAGGAATTCTACAAAGACTGAAAGTGTTAGACTGGATTTGAGAAAGGAAATCAAGCTGGAAAAGCCTATTTCATCAGTCATCTATGCGTTAGTTGTGAAGCCACCATTCAGAAGAGACTCTCCAGAGGAAAAGCAAAAGGTGGAGAACAAAATCTTGATGAGCATCTACAACAAGGATAGGCAGGAGAAAAGTAAGTTAGCAAAGAAAACTGAATCTAGACATTGAAGAGAACCAGACTAATAGATGCAACAGGAATAAAGAGCATCTGAAGGGATGTAGAGATCCAGGAGAAAAATAGGTTCCGCAGTTTAAAAGTCAGTCTCAGTAGGGAGGAGGCGGAACCAACAGGCAGAATTAGAAGAAATGGGTGGCCACATGAAACTGATAGAAAAAAGGAAAGAAGGCGCCCCATCCATTGTGAGTCTGTATTGGTTGAAGACCTGGCGCCTGTGTCCCCGCCCTGGGTTCTGTCAGTGCAGCCGTGCAGGGCAGTGCTTCTCCATTGTCCCCAGGTCTTGTGCAGGCCTTGCATCTGCAGACGGCCGCCAGGGCGCGCGGTATCCTCCTGGAGAAGACCAGCTCTGGGTCAAATTACTTATTTTAGTAAGACTGCACTGCTTCCCCAACATCCAAACCACAGCACGCGTTGCTGAGAGCAGACACCAAGTGACGCCAAAGCCCCGCGCCGCGGCTCCCTCACCCCTGTATGACTCGCTCTGACCACTGCGCAATTCGGACCGGCGAACGACCCGCGGGTCCCTAGGCTTTGGGTGGGTGTCCAAAGGACCTCTCCAGAGTAGCCTGTTCAAACCCTTTCCTCTAACTGACAAGGATTTAGTTTCTCCGACCTCTCAAATCCGGCGGTCCTGCCCCTGGCGACACCAGCTCAATTGGCAGTCTCTATTCCTTGGCTGGGGACCGCCCGGCCGGGCGGGGACGCTGTGCGACGCGAAAAACACCGCGGCTGACGTGTGCCGCGCCCAGAAGACGTTCCGGAAGTGACGATTGCTGCTCGCGCCGGAAAGCAGAAATCCAGTGTGCATCAGATGGCGGAAGTCCCGCCTACTCTTGGCGACGGAAATCCGGTTCACCGCGCCGTGTCTCCTCGTGTAGCCCGTAGCCGGCATGGCGCACTATAATTTCAAGAAGATTACGGTGGTACCGTCCGCCAAGGTAAGGGGCCGAGAGAGGGCTGCCTGTCTCTTGTGCTTTTACTTGGCCGGTTTCCAGAGAGGGACCACGCCTTTAATCCCGAGACCTGCACAGGGGGCCACTTAGGCCTTCCCTGCAGCCACGGTCAGGCCCCACTTGCTAGGCTGCGTCCTCTCGTGATCAGGGACCCCCAGACGTCAGTCCCACATTGTAAAAGCACTTCCCCCGACCATGGGTTCCCGACCCGAGGGTCCTTCAGAGGCCAAAGGTCTCCTCGAGCGTGTGTGACTCCTGAAGGGGCTATCCAGGTGACGAGGTGGATGGGTGGGGTGTGTGGTGGCGACCCCGTGGTGCCAAGGGGTGTGGTGGTCGGTGATGAGCCTAGACCCGCCCCCCTGCTTCGGATTCTGAGTTTCTCCCTCTTAGCTCCTTGCTGTCATGGTTTAACACTTCTTTTTTAATTTAATTTAATTATTTTTTAATTTAATTTGCTGTTGGACTTGGGAAACGCAGTTGTTTTCATACACGGCCGGGCTAAATCTGTAGCGTTATTTAGTGAAGTAAGAGTCCAAAAAGCTTTGGGTGTTGGAATTGCTAAGAAGTCAAGTTCTTACGTGGAGACCTTCTGTGTGAGTTGTGATTATGAAGGCGGAAGCGCTTATCTGGAAATTTGAGTTTCTTTGGAGGAGTCCTGGGGCACTGCTACGGAGGACCAACCCGGAGAAGGAATTATGCAGTGTGGATATTTTCAGTGTCTATGGAACGTCCCACCGATGGCTTGAGCTTGCGTTGGAAAGCTTTGTCAAGAATTTGTGTTTTCCATTCATCACACTGGTTTCCTTCTTTCTTGCTGCCATTTATCACTTCTTCCTTTTTCTGACAATCATTCTGGTACATCTCTAATTAGGTTGAAGTATTAGTGAGGAAATCATATATAGGAATCACGTCTTGGATTTTTGGTTCTCGTGATACTTTCTCAGCCATCTTTCTGAATTAGGTAACTTTTTGAACTGGCTTCTTAAAGGATATGTAAGATTTGTTAATTATTTTATCTTCAGCACCCAAGTATCCCTAGCATTCTTTGAAGGAGGTGATCAATGTCGTTGAATTAATGAAAGTGTTTAAAGGAAAATCAAGTACAAGGGTTTGAGGAAGCATGGGATATAGTCCTTGAAGAGAAGCAGGGGCTTTTTGCACTGGTGACTGTAGGCAAAAATCTTTTGAATCTTCAAATAGTTGCCTCACATACTCAAAGGAAGTTTTAAATACTTGTGTTTTAGTTTTACCCATTATTTTATGTCCTTTTAGAGTCAAAGCTATACATATTGAGATAGAAGGAAAATTTCTTTTCAATATTTTTTTTTCCTGATTCATGCCTGAATTGTCATGTTTCAAATATTCTTAGGTGTTTGAAAGTATGGGGTAAATTTCTTTCAGTAGTCATTGGGTGTTTCTTATCAAAAACAATAAAGGTAACATAGTTGTACATAAAGGACTTAGTTTAAAAAAGAGTTTATTTTGTAGCTTAAAATATGTAGTGCTGTTAGGTATTAGTGTTTTAAGAAGGTCTCAAGCAAGTGACTGGAAAGTAGATGTTTGAATTGTGACTTGATCTTTTTTTATTATTGTTGTACTGGTCCATTGTGACATTTACAAAAGTTCTTACAATGTATCATAGTTGAATTCCCACCCTCCATCTTTTACCTTTCTCCATCTTCCCCCCCATTCCTGGAGTAGTTTCAACAGGTTTCATTTTAATGTTTTTTTTTGTTTTTTAATTTGCAGGACTTCATTGATCTCACATTATCGAAGACTCAACGAAAGACTCCAACAGTGATTCATAAACATTACCAAATCCATCGCATTAGACATTTTTATATGAGAAAAGTCAAATTTACTCAACAGAATTACCATGATAGACTCTCACAGATTCTAATGGATTTCCCCAAATTGGATGTATGTGACTTTAGGGGACATGTATAGTTATGTAAATGTAAGCCTTCAGAGACTCAGTGTTTAGTCAGCTTGGTGTGCTCTTTTGACAGAAAGAGAAATAGAAATTAATTGATTCATCATCTTTTACTATGTCAGTGTCTAAACCAGGAATACAACCCAGGTTTTTTGAATCCTTATAGTTTTCATTTGCCCCAGCCAAACTCCATCCTAAGAGATCTGAAGCTATCTCTGTAACCTTGTAGGCTTGCCACAGCCAACGTAAACTTACATAAAAGCTATGGATTATGCACTGAGGCCCTCTGATGGCCCATTTGTTTATCTGCTTCATCTCCTCCATCTGGGGCTTTTTTTTTCCTTTGGACTGAGTAGAGTCAGTGGTCTAAGGTCTGTGATTTGCCATCTTGTTGCTACATCAGCTGATGATGGTCAGCTCGGCACTGATACTTTTCTTCATGGGCAAGAAGAGATACCATAGGGAGCTGTGACTCCTGCATTAATCCAAAACTCCTGAACCCCTGCACCATATTGCTATTCACATATCTATATTGTTGTTCTTTTCTACAAGAGCAGAAACTGCTTGGTAGAGTCTGTTAACAGTGTTATGAGAGTCTGTGTAGGATTTTCGAGGTTGAGGTTGCAAAGCATAGGAGATCATTATAGTCTTAGAGCCTAAATTGACCATTGCCCCAAAGTGGTCCCTGAAGGTAGGTAAGGCAGAGAAAAGGTTGGTTTATATGAAATATTTTTATATTTAAAAAAGTAACATTGGCATGTTTCTTTTAAAAATACAGAAGTATATAAAAATGTAAACCTTTTCCCTAGAGAGCAGGCACTTATTTTCTTATTTTATATCTGTCTCTAGGTAATTAGTAGACGTCAAATGAATGAATGAGTGATTTCTTGGGAAAGACCAAGTACTAGAGAATACCTGGGGCCGGGGGGGGGGGGGGAAGACTATGGATGAGATTATTCTAAACTGACTTGGTGTTGGAAAACTTAATTTTAGCACACAGTATATTTTAATGTTATTAACATCAGACTTTTACCGTTCTTTGTAAGGTAGCTTGGATATTAGATTGGATTTTTCTTTTGGTGGCACTGGAGTTTGAACTCAGGGCCTCATGCATGCTAGCCAGACACTCTACCACTTTGAGCCACTCTACCAGCTAGATTAGATATTCTTGAAAGAATGAAGAGGACGTTGACGTTTTCCCCCTTGACAGCAGCAATCTGCTCACCAAGCTGCAGGAGGTTCAGGAGCATTTTGAGGAGGGAGGAGGTCAAGAGTCCAGTCTGTACAAGCAATTTGGAGATTTATGTGATGCATCTTGAGTAGAAATCCCAAAGCTCACAGGAGGTTAGGCCTGGAGATGTAGAAACAGAATTTTAAAGTATAGATGGTATTTAAGATGTACAGAGATCACACAATCCAAGAATGAGCATATAAAGAGTTCTGTGGAGTGGGCTGTGAGGAGAGTCCACACAGAATTTGGAAGAGTAGCCATTAGAGAGGAAGTCAACTGAACCAATTGCTTTTAAAACAATGAATGGCCAGCCCACCTGCATTGCTAAAAGGTCTAGTGATAGAATAAATGAGAATTGTCAGTTCAGAAAATTATTGTGAACTTGATGACCTCAGAAATTATTTGTGAACTTGATGACCTCACAAAGTTCTGGTGAGAGTGGGTTCAAGAGAGGGAGGAAAAAAGATACAATGCCTCTTCCCAGCATTTGCTGACAAGACAGAAGGATTATGGGGTCAAGGGAGTTGTAATTTTTTTTAAAAAGAGATTTGGCAAATAGCACATTTACATGCTGATGAAAATAGTCAGATGGCGGGAAGAATTTCTGGAACTTAAGTTCCTGAGGAGTAGGATAGGGAGAGCTAGGTTCCCACACAGCTCTGTCACTATAATGGGATGAAGGTTAGGGCCAGTAGATGTTAAAGTTGTAGTCTCTCTGTTCATTGTTTCTCTTTTCTTAAAACTCATTGGCCAGGGGAGGGAACTGGGAGGCAAAGCTGCAGGTTTGAGGAGAGAAGAAAAAAAATTCTCTGCTGTGTAAAGGATGAGAAATTGTCGGACCAAAATAACTGCTGTGTGTTTTGTTTATTATAGGACATCCATCCATTTTATGCTGATTTGATGAATATACTCTATGATAAGGATCATTACAAGTTGGCTCTAGGACAAATAAATATTGCCAAAAATTTAGTGGACAAGTAAGGTATTTTCTTATCATAGTATCTGTTAAGTCACTATCAAAAATAGAAAAAGGAACTTACCTATTTTTGGTTTTTTTCAAGTGTTGCTAAAGATTATGTGCGACTTATGAAATACGGTGATTCTCTCTACCGCTGCAAGCAACTGAAGCGAGCTGCCTTGGGGCGGATGTGCACTATTATCAAGAGACAGAGGCAGAGTTTGGAATATTTGGAACAAGGTACTTGATATACATGTTCTTTTAAGTGTGATTCTTGTTGAGAACTTAATCTTGGGAGATTTATTTTTGTTCTAGATATGACAGGATCAAATTACTTTTTGTAGCCTAACCCATACGAAATTCTAGGAGGCTAGTTATTATTGAAAAAGTGCTTAGCATGGGTTTTTTTTATTTGGTGGTAGTGGGATTGAACCCACGGCCTTGAGCATGCTAGCAAGCGCTCTACCACTGAGCTATACTCCCAGCCTGCTTGGCAGTTTGATGCTTCCAAATTAATACCACTATTCAGAAAATGTGTGATTATGTTATTTAATAGGTAAGGCATAGACATGAATCTTGGAAAAACACTGAACAGAGTATAAAAATAAAATGACATAGTGTTACTTTTTTTTTTGACAGTATCGGTGTTTGAACTCAGGACCTTTTCCTTGTGAGGCAGGTGTTCTACCACACTTGAGCCATATCCCAATGGCTCATTACTGACATTTTTATTTTTAAAAACTTTTTTTGTGTAGAGGACAAATTTTACCATAGAAAATTTTATGGAAAAAAATCACCTGACTTTTTAAATGCATGGTTTTACATTACAGATCATCTTGACCTGTTGGTTTTGTTCCTCTTACATCTTACAAATGTTGTTTGATACGATTTATGATACATGGGTATTTTGCAACTGCTTTCCTACAGATCTGTTGGAGTCTCATGGTAGCCCAGTGGGTCCATTCTGGAGCTGTGTTTGTATTAGAAGTGAGGCAATTAATGGGAATAGCACATGTTGAAGCCAGAAGGTTACGGCATGTGTGTTTCATAGTGCACCGTTGTCTAATAATCTCACATTGCGAGAATCATGCAGACACTTCTGAGATGTGTGTTTGGCCCACCTTGGACTTAACGGAATCAAAATAGCAGGGTGGGAGGCCTAGAAATAGGATTCGTGGTGCAGCCACATTGGGAAATGCTATTACATACGCAAGTACGTGCACTAGTACCTACAGTTACTCCTTTTTTCATTCATACTTAATTTTCTTCATCACTTCAATATAACCATAGTTCTGGACCATAACTAAATTGAAAGTTTCAAGCAAGTCTTAAGTTTCTTAATTTTTTAATTTAAATGTTTCATAGTGCGACAACATTTGTCTCGCTTGCCAACTATTGACCCAAATACAAGGACTCTGCTTTTGTGTGGGTATCCAAATGTTGGAAAATCCAGCTTTATTAATAAGGTAGGTTTTTTTTTTTTTTTTTTATCATAAATCACATACTCTGAGCACCTTAGATCAAAAATGCTATCATAGTCTCACTTAGTGGGATTTAAGATGCATTTGGTTATATTTTTAGCTGACTGGTTAATCCTTTAGTAAACATTACCCTAGTTTTTAGAAGGACCTGACACCTAAGCACACTCAAGTTCTTCTTGGATGGAGGTTTAACTTGTCTGAAACTAGATTTAAATTTTCATACAGAAACCATTCCTCTGTGTGTGTGTGCCCATGTGTGTATGGTACTTGCACATTTTTGGCATGCGCTCTCCCACTGAGCTAATATCCCCAACTCTTTTTTAAAGTATTTTGAGACAGGGGCTTGTTAAGTTGCCCAAATTGGGCTTGAAATTGTGATCCTCCTGCTTCATCCTCTCTAGTAGCTGGAACTACAGGTATGCACCGTCATACCTGGCAAAAATTAGTCTTGGTAATGTGAGGTGCCAGTGTACATTGTTTGAGAGGAACTGAGGTATGGAACTCCTGTGATCTTGGGTATTATTTTTTTCAAGGTGACAAGAGCAGATGTGGATGTTCAGCCCTATGCGTTTACCACCAAGTCTTTGTTTGTCGGGCACATGGATTACAAGTATCTGCGTTGGCAGGTGAGAGTCTTATCTTTAAACCTAAAATAAACATCTGGGGTTTTAGTTTCATGGAATTTGATGATCTCTAAAGAACAGTGTATGTCCATTCCATAATGCAGTTAGTACAGCATCATCTGTGAGCAGCATCCTCTAGGGGAAAGTCTCAGCAGGTGGGGAAAATAGATTCTCTGGCATCACCAACAATTTGAAATTTCTCCATCACCATAAAGAAAACTTCTCTAAGCTTTGGGGTGGTGAGTAAGGGCAGTTCAAATTTATATAATTCACAAAAAACAGCCAGCTACCAGTAGGGACTTCTACATTAGTTCAGTATTAGTGATTTTTTTTTTCCTTAGTGATGCCTCTTATGAAATGAATAATTCTTTGTATCTATCATTCCTAACTCTGTCATTAGAAGTGACATATACTGTTTAAAAGCATGAAGCAATCTATTTCCACAATCAAAATTACTTTATAAATGATGAAGAAAATAATTAAGACCTGGTAGAGTTCATCAATTATTCCAAGTTTTATGAAGTCACTAATGAAAAGAGGAGTCATTTCTCTCAAGGACATTGGCTAACTCTTTAATGAGTTCTGCAACCCCCTACCATCTTATTAGTGTGTAAAGAATATATACTTTTCTTTTACTACTGTATTTTTTGTTTTTTTTAATCACGGTCAGTTTTATACACCTACATTTTATTTACTAGTTTCATTAGGTCTAGCTTGGTTGTGTTAGGATGACTTTTGGAATGTACTGAACAAGAAGTTTGCAAATAAATGTACTTTGTAGTAATGAAGTCTGATCATTAGGTAGTAGATACTCCAGGGATTTTGGATCATCCTTTGGAGGATCGGAACACCATCGAAATGCAGGCCATCACAGCCCTGGCCCACCTTCGAGCTGCGGTCCTGTATGTGATGGATTTGTCTGAGCAGTGTGGACATGGGTTGAAGGAGCAATTAGAGCTCTTCCAGAATATTAGACCTCTCTTTATCAACAAGGTAAATTACAAAGTATCTCTCCCTTATCTGCTGGAATATGTTCCAAGACCCCTTCCTCCCCCGTGGGTGCCTGAGATCACAGATTGTACTGAACCAGATATGTTACTTGAGCACACGCACCGCTGTGCCTGTGACTGCAACTGCTGTTTAATGACTGTCTGGCTGGTAGAATTGAGAGTGAAAAAGCTGGACAAAGCATGAGTCATATCCTGGTGGAACAAAGCAGGAAGACATAAGATTTCATTATACACTCAGAATGTTGCACAATTTAAAATTTATGAATTATTTATTTCTGAAAGTTTCCATTTAATATTTTCAAACTGTGGTTGATCTTGGTAAATGAAATTGCATAAAGCAAAACCACAGATAAGGGGAACTGTAGTACTCTGCAGTATAAAAGTAACAATTGTTTCTCTTCCTTGCTAGCCTCTTATAGTCGTAGCAAACAAATGCGATGTGAAGCGAATAGCTGAACTTTCTGAAGAGGATCAGGTAAATCACCTTAGTATTTTAAATATTTTTTGGTTACTAATTTTGAATTCTCTTAACAGATAGCCAAAGTTTAGAAGAAGTTATAGCAGTGCTAGATCAGGTTGAGATAATATCCACAATGTTTAGTGACATGACATAAAAACCTAAAACACAGGTTTCCTGATTCCTGTTCTATTCTTGGGTCTATGGGAATGTGTGTGTTTGATATGTTTAATCTTTGGAAAATATGATTACTTAGGAAAGGACTGTGCTCTTGCTGGTATCTTAGAGGAAGCTAGATGCTTGGAGTTTTGCTTTTTCTCTGCCAGGCCTTAGGATATCAGGTATATGGGAGCTGCGTTTTCCAGAATAACTTTCTCATTAGGTTGGGTATTCATAGATGTTATTTCTAAGAAGAGGCCAGATCTGTGGTAAGTGAGTTTGGGAAGTGAATGATTGAGCGAAAAAGAACGAGGATCCATAAGCTCTTGTAAGCCTGGGCTTTCCAGGACTGTGAACTATAGTGTCTGCTAATGTTCTCTACCAGGCAGGTAATTCTGGTAGGCATAATTTTTCAAACCAATTTGACCCTGCAACCCTTTTTAACAGGCAGCTTTCAGGATAAATGCCTTGAAAGACACTCACTACTACTGTAGTTCGGTCGTGGACCAGCAGCATCTCATCACCTTTGCCTGGTAACTTGTCAGAAGTGTAAATTTGAGTCAGAAGCCCTGAGCTGTGGCAGCAGTCTGAGCTTGAACAGTTCTTTCAGATGACTGATGTGTGCTCAAGTTCTGAGAACCACTACATCTGAGTGGTAAATGTTATTTGGCCGTGTCTTCTGGAAATATTCTTCATTGTCCCGAGTTAAAGTATAAGGTTCTGAAGTAGGAGGATCACATTGTTTCTTTCTCAGTGTCTCTTGTTCTATTTGGACATTTAATACTTGATAAGGATTAGCTTGTCTAAAATAGCCATACTGACTAGGTTTGGTGTTGCAGACCTGTAATCCCAGCACTTGGGAGGCTGAGGCTTGGGCTAAATAAAAAACCATATTGATTTTTCTCTATGCATTCTTTTTTTTTGTGGTACTGGGATTTGAACTTGGCCTACACCTTGAGCCACTCCACCAGCCCTTTTTTTTTTTTTGATGGGTTTTTTCAAGTTAGGGTCTTGCGAATTATTTGCCCAGGCTTACTTTGAACTGTGATCCTCCTGATCTCTGCCCCTTGAGTAGCTAGGATTATAGGCGTGAGCCACTGGCAGCCAACTCTCAGTGCATTCTTTAGATTACTAATTATATGAACACTGATGTCAGACAACTAATTTGTCTTTGAAAGAACCCTTGGATTTTTTAAATAATCTCAGTTTTTTACTCTAAAACATATTGGAGAATGGAGAAAAAGGTAGAGTAGGTGGCGCCAGAAAGATAGAAGTGAGGTTAAAAAAAAAAGCTGTGATCAGGTGCTGAGGCTTCAGATCCCAGCTTCACCACTTGCCAGCTGTGTGTTAGGGAAGTGAGGTCACCTTTCTGTTTGTCTAGTGTAGACAATGTTTGCATCTTCTGTTGTTGAGATTCCATGAAATTGGGAAACAAGTCTACATTGGATGCTATTAACAATATCATTGCTTCATTAGCACTTCTATTTTAGAGCTGCCCTTTATTTATTGGCCCTATAACATGTCTGTTGTCATCACACCATGACAACACAACAGTTATTATCGCATGCATGGGTAGAGTTAGGGACTGGCTTCCCTCGGCGCCACACATTGCTAAGTGGCAGAATTAGTGCCTCTATCATGGTTTTCTCTGAAACTATTGCTTTGGTCCCTGTGGTGATGGTAATAGATGTTGTTCACAATCATGATTGGCTTCAGTATCATTGGGTCATGTTTATGGTTAGGTATAAATGGACATTCAATAGAGGACACAAATCAAGTCCCTTCTTTTAGAGTCTTAGTGGTTCATACGTTGCTAGATTCATGAAAGCTTTGGTTGTTCTTAAGGAATTATCTTGGGCAATAGAGGCTGATTTTGTTTTTTAAATAAGAAATAACATTAAAAACGGTTTTTTAAAAAAAATTGATCTTGGCTGGGCATGGTGGTACACATGTATAATACCAACACGTGGGAGGCTCATGATTTCAAAGCCATCCTGTGCTACATAGTTCAGAGCTATATACATGCCAAGGTACTGTCTTGGAAAAAGAAAAAGAAATGATTGAGACCTTGCCTGAGTTTCTGCTTTGGAAAGTGAGATCTTACAGAGTGTTCATAGAGCTTCAGGTTTTACTTGGCTGTAATCTGGTTTGATGCTCCTAGCTGTTTGTTATCTTTTAAGTGCAGAGGTGCATAGGGAAAAATAACTTGTAGGTGTTCTTTAAGGCTTAAAAATGAATCATAGATGTTGAGCAACTAACATTTACAACTTCCGTTTGCAGAACAGTATAATTTGTTCCATAAGCAAGTAGAAATCAATAATGCGTGCTTTGTTTTTCCTTTGAATTCCCAGAAAATATTTATAGATTTGCAGGCTGAAGGATTCCCTGTAATAGAGACCAGCACCCTGACTGAGGAAGGTGTTATTCAAGTTAAAACAGAGGTCAGTGCTTCCTTAAATCAGGCAGAAATCTTTTTCTTGGTTTCCTTTTCCTATAGAAAAGCCAGTTAAGGAGGAAAAAAGTACTTTTCTTTTTAGGAGTTACTAATATTCAGAATACTCACATAGCCAGACAAGAGTGGTGCACTGTAAGATGGATCCAGACACCCACACAACACTTGTGCACTGCCCCACCCATGTGAATAATGGCATTTGAAGAGACAGTTATTGGTCCAAGACCACCCCTCCCTTGCCCCTGTGGGTGCCAAAAATCTGCAAATGTTCAAGTCCTTTATATGAAATGGCATAGTGTTTTCACATAACCTAATCTACATGCGTTCTGTCTACATACTTTAAACCATTTTTCGGTTATTTATAATAATTGTAAATGGTATGGAAATAGCTGCTATACTATATTGACAAGAAAAAGTCTGCATGTTTAGTAATTTTATTCTTCAAATAGTTTAGATCTACTTTTTGTTTGAGTCTATGGACTCAGGACCTGTGGATAGGGAAGGCGAATGTACTTTATAATTTCCACAGTAGAAAATATTAACTTAAAGTTGCTACTGTGTGTTTTGACCTTCTGGTATTTCCATAGCAATTATAGTAAAAAAGAAAGTACTGTCATGGAACCTGTTCAGAAGAAAAAAGTAGTCTGAAAAGCAGGAACAGCTTGGATGAAGCTGTCCTGTTGGTTTCATGTGTTATTTTATTTTCTACTCGGCATGTTATTTTTACCTGAAAGGGACTAATTACTCAAGTTGCTAGAGGCCTAGAGGGGAGCACATCTAGGGCAGGAAGGGCAGGTAGAGAGCACACAAGTCTGTGCAGAAGGAGGCCCCCATGGGACATGGCAGGGCTGCTTCAGGATTCTGCCTCTAGTCGGCCCTTGGTCTTCGTTAAAGAATATGGTCTGTCTCAGAATAGTTACCTGTTGAGGGAAAATACATAGTAAGTTCCAAATCAAACTAAGTTGGTGAATGGGGGTTTGATTCTTCTTTAGAATGTGTGGCAGAGTATGACTTTGTGACTCTGCCTTTTTTTTATACTTCATTAGGCTTGTGATAGGCTTTTGGCTCATCGAGTGGAAACCAAAATGAAAGGAAATAAAGTGAATGAAGTGCTGAACAGATTGCATTTAGCTGTGCCAAACAAAAGAGACGATAAGGTAAGAAGATGAAGGAGCCTGTAAGATAACAGCTATTGTAGCCAGGTGTGGTGTATGCCGGTAATCTTAGTATTCAAGAGGTTGAGACAGGAGGATCGTGATTGGAGGCCAGCCTAGGCAAAGTTAGCAAGACCCTGTAAAACAAAATAAAAACAAAAGGGTTGGGAATATAGCTCAAGTGGTAGAGTATTTGCCTAACATGAACCTGGCCTAAAGTTCATAACATGTATTTCTTTTATCACTGGTGGATTTTGTGTCTTGCATAGAAAGGCCTACCGTGCATTCCAAAAATATTTCAAAAGTGTCTTTTTCCTCCATATTTCCATATCCCTCCCCCGATGTCTTCCCATTCACAATACAGAACAGGGAAAGGACCTATGAGGTAGGTTTACTCTTTCTAAACAGTCAGCGTAAGAATACAATGCAGCCTGGGGTAAACACCAGGAGGTTTTGTTTTGTTTTGTTTTTTAGTTTATCTCTTTTTTCGATAGAAGTCTTTTCTGTCTTGAATCTCTATTATCCTGAAGGAGGTGCAGGTAGCTGCCAGCTTTGTTTTCAGTGATAGTTATTTGTCTCAGAACTGATTATTGAATATCTTTCCATTGCATTCTCATACATACTTGGGTTTTTATCTGAGTTTCTTGTCAAGTGGTTGATCTCTTACCTCTTCTTTCTTACATAATTTTCTCAGTAATGTTGATTATTTTTCTTTTTTCTCTTTTTTTCTTCTTCATATGTGTATACAATGTTTAGGTCATTTCTCCCCCTTCCCCCCGCTTCCTCCCTTACCTAATTATTTTTTCTAAATGAATCTAGTTCTCTCTCAGACAGAGATTTGCTTCTCCTTTTTTAATTTCTTTTAAGTTTCTTTCACATTCAGCCAGGCATTTCTTGTAAATACTTTTAATGTCTTCTTAGGAAAGGCCTCCTTTCATTTCCAGAAGGAGTGGTGGCACGTAGGAAGAGGATGGAAATTGAGGAGCCCAAGAAGAAAAGGGTGCGTTGCTGACTCTCAGCCTAGGTTTTCTTTTGGAGAGGGGAGCAAAAATGGTTATGTGTGCCCCAGTGACGGGCCTGGAGCATCAGACACAAATGTGTGTGTGTCCAGGAGCCAGCCCTGTAGGTTCCAGAACATAGCAGTGAATCCATGACCAAAGTCTGCTCTTGTGCTGCTCTTCAGTTGATAGTAGATTACAATAAATAAGGTAAATCAAATACATAAAATATGTAGACCACCATGGTCAAAAATAGCTCCTACTAGAAATAGAAATTGAACCCCATAGATACAGAAAGGATTGGAGAAGAGATTATTTCACTTTGGCAAGGAGAGGACTGAGTGTTTTTGAACTTAAAAGGTGAAATAAAGCTGATTATAATTTTCTTTTTCCCATCGCAGGAACGAGATCTTGAACTGGAAATGGGAGATGATTATATTTTTGGATCTTCAAAGTAAGACTAGAATGTAATAGGTATCTGAAAGCCAGATATATGTGAAATGTTTTAGAAAAGCAAGAAAGTACTTTAATCGATGGTCAAAAATAGCTCTCCTACTAGAAATAGAAATTGAACCCCATAGATACAGAAAGGATTGGAGAAGAGATTATTTCACTTTGGCAAGGAGAGGACTGAGTGTTTTTGAACTTAAAAGGTGAAATAAAGCTGATTATAATTTTCTTTTTCCCATCGCAGGAACGAGATCTTGAACTGGAAATGGGAGATGATTATATTTTGGATCTTCAAAGTAAGACTAGAATGTAATAGGTATCTGAAATGCCAGAATATGTGAAATGTTTAGAAAAGCAAGAAAGTACTTTAATGAGTAAAAGTCTTTTAGCATATCTTTTAGGTTTTAATTTTCTTGGAGATAAAAGTTGCATGTTGATAGAGCTCTGTGAAACATCTTCCAGGTCGTTTTCTTTTGCTTCCAGTTTTCACAGGGTGTGAATGTTGAGCGTGTAAACACTGGCCAGTGCTTATCTCGTTAGCAATAACATTTTATATGGGGATATGACTTGGTGTAAGTTATAATTCATTCTGGGCATATAGTACCTTCTTTTTTTTTTAACTTTAGAATATTGGGATTTAATGAATTCGTCTGAGAAGTATGATAAGATACCAGAGATCTGGAAGGCCATAATGTCGCTGATTATATTGATCCTGCTATCATGAAGGTCTGTCACTTTTCACTTTTAAATCTGTAGGTGTTTTTTTTTTATGATTGCTGGAAGATACAGCCACAACTTTTTGCTAACCTTTTTTTCCCTTCATTCTCTACCTGCACCCCCCCACCCTAAAGCATCCCTCCGCTTCCATTCTACATAACCACTCTCCTGGTGACCCTGCCTTCTCTGTCTCGCCTACAAATTTATTTCATGTGTCTTCTGGAGAGTTGGAGAATTAGGGGAGTGGCTTCTGCACATTTTTATCCTTGAAGTTCATTTTAAGGACATGACACAAAAAACTACCAACTTGCTCTCAGTGAGTGTTCGTAGTGTCTCCAATTTCTTTGTAGAACCTCTTTTTCTGAATAAGCTGTGCATTACTGTATCATCAAAGATCAAAGACTTAGGGGAAACATGCCATAAACACATTGCCATATCTATTTAGAAGTTGTTCTAAGCTAATTTTGTTGAACTCCGACTGTTTTTTTTTAAAGAAACTGGAAGAGTTAGAAAAGGAAGAAGAGCTCAGAACAGCTGCTGGGGAATATGACAGCGAGTCTGAAAGTGAAGATGAGGAAATGGTGGAGATCCGACAGCTGGCAAAAACAGATTAGAGAAAAAAAGAAGTTGAAAATTCTGCAATCTAAAGAAAAGAATACACAAGGACCCAGATACCTCGAACTGCTAAGAAGGTATATTTCATGTCATTCTAGAGAGGCAGGACCTATTTGTTGCATATTGGTTTCTTGTGTAAATAATTACTAAATACAACTTTATGCCCATTTGTTAGGCAGGGTTTCTTGTGTAAATAATTACTAAATACAACTTTATGCCCATTTGTTAGGCAGGTGCTCTACCACTTTAGTCTTTTCTACCAGCCCTTACTTTTTTAACCCATTTGTGGCTATAATATTGCACATGCTTTGATTCATTGGTGTTTATTGACCTGCAAGATGGTTTTCCCTGAGCTTTTATTTTGGAGTATGTGGGGCTCCTTGGTGGTTGGTGACTTCAGGTTAAATGCACTATTATAAATCCAATTGTTTTTGTAGTTGTGGAAGTTAAAATTATAAATTTATGATTCATACAAGCTTAAAGCCATTGGTTAACATTTTATTATTATTCCATTTCTGCATTAATCAGAACCAGTAATCTTTGCAGTTTGCAGAAACCTAACCTAGTCTTAACTTCAAATCCAAAAATCAATTTATTGGCTCCTATGAGTGGTGAGCATGGGGACACTCACACCTTAGGTGTCAATCTGTCAGTTAATGGCAGGATTCTTTCCACTTCTCATCTCCATCTTTATTGGGATGTTACTCTCTTGCTTCATGCTCTGGTCTGGGTGATGGGTCAGGCCTGGGTCATGTGGTAGATTGCCTCCCTGGACTACAGGAAGTTGGCAGTAAGGAGAGGCAGGTTCCCAAAGAAGGAAGACATGGTACAGATAGTTAAAATGTAACGAGAGAGAAAGAAAAATAATTTACCTTTATAAACGCCCCTCAGATATTAGTCAAGACATTTCAAAATACATGGAGTCATTCATGTGGTAGATGACTGGTTGTTGTCAGATTTGCACATTTTTCTGTTTCTCTTTGTGGTGCTCAGTAGTCTCTGGAAAGGAAGAACTTGGTGCCCCAAGTCTGACTTAAGGCATGTCATTAACCTCAGCTGTAATGGTCTCATCTGTACCATGAAGATAGTCACTCTTTTATCCATTGGGTTGTTGTAAGGAATAAAAAGACAAAGAAGGTGCATTGTGGCTTCCATATAGCAGTTGCTCAGTAATTGTTTCATTTTCAAGGAATTTAATTGAACTGTCTAAAATATGAAAGTGTTCCCAAGTAAATACATCTTACAAGTGTGTTATAGATTACTTTTGTCACTCCAGGATGTGTGTGTTGCGGGGGTGGGGGGAGGTTGTTCTCTCCATCAGTGAGCAAACAGTGCTGTAGGAGACACTGCTAGGTGTCCTCTAATTGAATTCAGTTCTGACACCATCTCCCTGGAGGTAGTGTAAAACCACAGATTGAAGGCTCAGATTGAAGGCACCAGAGTGCCTCTACTTCAGACAGCAGTCACAAGTCTGGGCCTCAGACTCCTGGCTTACCAGCTTACCAGCTACAAAGTCATTCTGCTTCTTTGAGTTTGATTAATTTGTTAGAGTGGCTCACAGAACTTGGAAACACTACATTTGCTAGATACTTAACACTTGCCAGTTTATTACAAAGTATATTTTAAGGGATACAGATAAACAGCTAAGCGAAGAGACAAATAGGGTGAGATTTGGAAGGGTCCCAAGTGCAACAGCTTTTTTATTTTATTTTATTTATTTTTCGGCAGCACTGGGGTTTGAACTTGGCCCCGTGCTTGCTAGGTAGGTGCTCTTACCATTTGAGTCACTCTGACAGCCCCATTGTTCTCTTTCTTAAAATCCTTCATGTGTTCAGTTGTCCAGAAGCTCTCCAACTCTACATAAGTAGAGCTTGGGCAAGAGGGTCTGCTGCAGTCCTAATAGACTGATCCTGTCTCTTTAGGTTCTTTCTGGCCTTTTTGTGTAGCATTCCTTCCTCCAGTGTATAGAGCAGGACTCCCTCTGAAATGGGGAGTAAGGATCTACTGTCAGGTGGTAGGTAGAAAATTTCTTGATGTCAAGCTCCAAAACACACAGTCATGGGAAGAGAAGACTGGAACTTTTTGATTTTGTTTTTTGAGACAAGAGTTTCCTATGTAGCCCAGGCTGGCCTTGAACTCACAGTCTTCCTGCTTCTGCCTTCCAAGTACTGGGGTTATAGGCATATGTCAGTAATATGCTTAGAGCATGTTTTTAACTTGTACAGCCTGCTTTGGGGAAGAGAAATAATAGTTTCCTTGAAGAGAAAAAGGAATAGTTATAAAAGAGGGGAGGAGGAGGTCAGAAAGAGAAGTTTTGCTTTCTGAAGCCTGAATCGCCTCAGTTATAACAAAAGACTGCTTTACCTCTGAAGCTGTCTCAGGAACCAAGGTCTAAATGCCAGATACCTTAACTTCATTGTTCTAGTTACTTAGGAAGCAACAGTGCTGTGAGGATTATAGGCAGAAACTGTGGGTGAAAACCAAAAAATAAATATTTATGATAGTTTCACATGTACATTTTCTTTTGGGATTTTTGTTGTTGTTTTTAACATTTATCAGAGTAATTTTGCTTAAAACAAGTATCTTGAACCAGGCATGGTAACACCTCTGTAATCTCAGCATTTGGGAGGCTGAAGCAGAAAGATCGTGAGTTCCAGGCCAGCCTGGGTTTAATAGTGAGACCCTGTCTCAAAAAAACAAAACAAAAAAACAAAGTATCTTTATCTTTTTTTTTCCTTCCCTTTTCAGGTTCAGCGGACAGATTTGGAGAATGAGATGCGTAGTCTTGGCATTGACATGGATGATAAAGACAATGTAGGTGTGCAGGGATGATTTCCGAACAGTCCTTTACTTAACAGTGGGGTCATATTCTGAGACAACTATCTTTGGTGATTTTGTCACGCAGACATCTAGGCTATGTGGTGTGTGTGTTCATGTTTCATGTATGTATGATATAACCTATTGCTTTTAGGGCCATTGAACAAAACCACATGAGAACAAATCAACCACAAAAGAACATGATGTAGTAAAGACATTGTGTATGAGATTGTATGTGAGATACTTGAGGCTGCTGATGTGACAGCATTCTGATGTACAGTAAACCTTTTGTTAATAAGTAAGAGGACACCCTAACCTAATGATAAAAGGTCTAGTACAGTAAATACATAAACTGATGGCAGTTTTCTTTATCATTATCAAATATTATGTACTGTATGAAATTGCATATATTACACTTTGGTACACCTGGCAGTGCAGTAGGTTTCTTTACACCAGCATCCCCACACATCCATGAGTGTTTCATTGCAGTATGACATTATGTCAGCTGTATGTCACTGGGCAATAGGAGCTTTTCAGCTTTACAGTGTTGGCCCATGATTGTCTGGAGTGTTGTTACATGGCGCATGACTGTGTTCATGTGGTTGAGTATTTTTGTTCATATAGAAAATCAAGATCTTGGGAATCTGAGAGTACGTAGTCAATTTAGAAATTACAGAGAAAATTTTAAGAAATATGAAATAAAGGTAAAAGAATTAGCATCAGGGAAAAAAATTTAAGTGGGAATAGAATGTTAAAGATCATAAGATGGGTACTTTTTTGTGACTTCTATTTTGGTGACTGAAGTCGACATGCTGCTTTAATTAGCTTTATTGTAGTTTCTCAATAAGTGTGAGGTCTTAATAGCATCTCAACATGACAGGAACTTAAAAAAATTGTCTTCCTGGGAGCCCAGTGACTAGAGGGCATTTTATATACCTGTTACAGTCTGTTGGTTGGTTGGTTTGTGTTTTCTGTGATGCATTATACTTGGAGCCTATATATCTTTATGTAAAAGAATCATGTTCTGGATTACTTTCTCAGAATAAATTCCCAGAAATGAAATTAGAAAATCCAAGGACAACATTGTATTAAAGATCTTTCCAAAAGGTATAGGATTAGGTAGATTAATATTTGATTAAGTGCCAGGCTTAATGCCTCCTTGCCTCTCAAGGTAGTTGTATCATCCTTATTTTACAGACAAAGGGACCGTGTCGAACAAAGTTAAAGTTCCATGACCAATCAGAGACAGAGCTGTGATGTGAGATAATCTTAGGCAGGCTAAATGTTTGCTTAAACCTTAATGTTGTACTTTCTGTTTGATACTTGTCACTTTGTGTTCAGATAGATAATCCCAAAATAGAGGACTAAGGGAGAGCTAATTCTTCATGTCTGGAAAAACTGGCATAAAACAGTTTTTGTTGAATGAAGAATATTTTACTACTAAATGAATGTGAGATTAACTATGTGTGTTTCCTTCCTTCCTTCCTTTTTCTCTCCTCCCTCCCCCTGTCTCCCTTCCCTTTTTTTCAGACAGGTCTTACTGTGTAGCCCAGGCTGGCCTGGAACTGACAGTCTTCCTACCTCAGCCTCCCAAGTGCAGGGATTATAGGAATATGCCACACCTGACTACATGTATCCAAACAATTTAGGTTGAGTGATATTAGCTCTTAAACCTTCTTACTGACCTCTCCCCGTACTGGAGTAATTTTGATTATCCCTGAACCTGGAAGCAGGGCTAGGATCCTGAGCACTGAAGCTTGCTTTTTGTGTGTTTCAGACCCACTATGCACTGCAGGCAAGAAGGTCTCGGAGTGTCACTAGGAAAAGAAAGCGGGAAGAATCTGTTCCACCTTCTTCTGTAGTTCGGAGTCGGAGTTGCTCTCGGGCTCCACGTGATGTATCTGGTCTTCGGGATGTTAAGGTTGGTCTCTGTGATGTGTAATTAAAGGAAATAAGAGCCTCCATTGCTTATTACCCACAGGCCAGGGCAAGTAATTGTTGTTTGGTGGGCAAGGAATTGTTCGTACACTCCATCCCTAGTTTCTTGGCATCCTTTAGCAATGAGCTTTTTCCAGGGAACAGTTGGATTCCCCACCTGTCGAAAGCCCCTGAATTTTTGCCCTAGGTGGACCATTCTCTAATGCTTTCTTATTTGGGAGAATAAACAAAAACATGCTCTTATAAAATTACCAGCGGTCTGAGCTTAGGGCCCACCTGTATTTAGAGGAGTGCTAGGAAATGGGCCCTCTTAACATCAAGAGGCCTCAGTCCCAGTAAGCACCTGTGAGGAACTAGCCCTGAGGGTATGATTTGATGGAGCATTAGGGGATCCTGTTTGTCCTCACATTATTAGGGATTTTCCCCTCCTCAGATTAGTAGTTTGAGTCATTGTCAAATCATTTGTAGTGTCTTTTGGATGTCCACAATCTCTTGCTGAAATGTCTTTAATAAACACAAAAATTTCAGTTCCAACATACTGAAAATTCAGATACAGCTGAAAATATAAACTGGCAATTAGCCTGCATAATGGAAGCCTGCATCTTTCATCCCACCATGTCATTTCCGTCTAGAAATCTGTGGTGGGTTTTTGTTTTTTCTTTTGGTAGGACTGGGATTTGAACTCAGGACTTTGTGCTTGCAAAGCAGGCACTCTGCCATTTGAGCCACACCTCCCGTCCATTTTGCTGTGGTTATTTTAAAGATGGGGTCTCATGAACTTTTTCTCCAAACTGGCCTAGAACCTTGATCCTCCGAATCTCAGCCTTCCAAGTACCTAGGTTTATAGGCATGAGCACTGGCACCCAGCTTTTTGTTTTTTGGGATGGTATCTCACTGCATAGTTCAAGCTGACTTCAAACTCAGGGTCCTCCTGCCTCAGCTTCAGAATTGCTGGGATTACAGGTGTGTACCACGGACATCTGGGGTTTAATATTGGCATTGCCACCTGTCAGTCAGATGTGAATAATATTGTCTCACGAACCTGAGTTTCAGTGTGTCTTTGTGTAAGGAATTAGAACAGATGGTTTTGTAATCTTCTAGGTCTAAAGCGTCCTGTTCTTGTAGGAATAAAACTTGTCCTAGATGCAGTTCTTGTTGGATTTTGTAGATACTGTGTTGGACCTGAGGGTAAATTTCTAATGAGACTTATGTATAGAGACATGGTCTCTACAGATAGACCTTGTCCATTAACACAATTATCTACTAATTTAATGTGCACAGTGGGAATTTGTTTTTCATTGATTAACATCATTTTTTTTCCTCCTTTGTAGATGGTGAAGAAAGCCAAGACTATGATGAAGAATGCTCAGAAGAAGATGAATCGCTTGGGGAAGAAGGGGGAGGCAGATAGACATGTGTTTGATATGAAACCCAAGCATTTACTCTCGGGAAAGAGGAAAGCTGGTAAAAAGGACAGGAGATAGTGTCCTTCGCAGTTGACTGGGCTGACTCGGTGGCTGTGATTGGTTTTTTTGGTTTGGTATGGTTTTATAAAATTGGAATCATGGTCAGTTAACTGAAACAGCAATAGAAATAACTAAGGTATGCTTGTTTCTTTATTGAAAACTGGTTAAATTGTGTAGGTGTGGGAAATTTTTGTCACTTCATATACTATAAATATTTTGAATAGAAAGTATTTCTGCATTTAATAGAGTGATGATTGCTTCACATTTGCAGAGCTAGAAAGATTTATTGGTGTGACTGGTTATTTTTGTTTTGATTTTTGTGACTGGTTGTTTTTGGTGGAGAAAAAACTTCCTTTTGTAAAAGAAAACTTTGATTCATCACAAGTGAAGAAAGCATCTTCACTTTTGGGTGTAGCAGAAGGCTACATCCATGCCCTGCACACTTGGAAGTTTGTGACTGCACAGCCCCATGCTTAAAGTAACTTATTTTCTAGACTTTTCCTACAATGTATCATTGTACTCTGTCTTCAGCTGTTTTATCCAGAATAAACCTCTAGAGGAACAGAGTTTTGATGTAGTTAGTTGTGTTCTGGTTTAGTTACAAATCACCATTGACTTGACCAAATGGAAAAGGAAAAAAGACATGAGCTTTCTTTTGTTTTTAAGGAGAATACACTTTTGGGGGGAATAAAATGCACAGATTATTATAGCAATTAAATGTGACCTCTGTTTTAGTAGACCATTGCTAATAATCACATGTTCAGCAAAACACAAAAATGTTTCAACACCACCACAAAAGCTACCCAGTGGGAACCTGTTTTCAGGTTTACATGGATAAAATTGTGAGATGTATGTGAATTCAAAACCTTCAGGCACAGTGAAACAAACATACTGGACTATGAGAGATTTAAAGTACCACTCCTTGACTATAAAACAAAATGGTTGTTGCCAGAAAGAAAAAAATATGGTTATTGCCACCAACTTTGTAATTAAAAGTCACATACCACATAGAACCTCAGTATGACTGTTGAATAGGGTTTTTGTAACATAATTCAGAGGTCTTTTCTCTTATGGATAATTGTGTTTACAATGTTGTATTCATGTTGGGATGTAAAGATATGCTGGGAAAGTTACATTAAGGCATATTCAGCTGGGCATGGTGGTGCACATCTATAATCCCAGCACCTGGGGCCAAGGCAAGATGATTGCAGATTTGAGGCCAGCTTGGGCTATATAGCAAGACCCTTGTCTCCCCAAAATAAATAAACAAATGAGAGATGGACAGATGCTGTTTTTGAGGTACTTAAGGAAGGGGATAGAGTAGGAAGTATGAGGAATGCATCTTTACCAAGTTAGAGTGAGTACCAGTGACCTTGTCTTCATATTTTGGAATTCTGTGTTCCGATTGCTACTTGCTGCTTCTCATGGTAGATGTGCAGACACAGAGATGGATTGCCATTGTCACAAACTTCCATCACCTAAGCTGACAAGGATTTTTTTTTTGTTCCCAGTACTGGGATTTGAACTTATGTTTGCTAGGCAGGTACTGTACCACTTTAGCCATGTCCCTAGTCCTTTAGCATAAAGAAATTTAAAGGCCACTGCCTGTCTTTTTCTGCATTTGGTTGGTCAGATGTTTATGGATTAGGACTTTAGAGAGCTGTTTTGTTTTGGGGTTTTTTTTTGGCAGTACTGGGATTTGAACTTAGGGCCTCACACTTGCTAGGCAAGTGCTCTATCGCTTGAGCCTCTTTGCCAGGCCTGGATTGGGAAAGGAGAGAATACAATTTCCAGAGTCTCCACTTAAGATTCAAATAACAGGTTTTCAAGAGCAACAGCAAATCACAAGGCATTCAACACAACAGGAAAGCATGGCCCATTAATGGAAAAAAAATAAATGAACAGAAACTGTCTCTAAGGAAGTCCACATGGCAGACTTAGTAGGTAAAGACTATAAAAAAAAAACAAAAAACCAGTTTCAAATATGAGCAAAATGCTGAAGGAGGCCATGGGAAAAATCAAGGATTCAGGGTATGAATAAAATAGGCATAAAGTTAGAAAACAAAAATGAACCATTCCAGAACTGAAAAGTGCAGTAACTGAAATGAAAAATTCACTGGAGTAATTGAAAGGCAGATGCGAACAGGAATAACAAATCCGCGAACGTGTAGGTAGAACAATTAACAAGTCTAAGGGATAGGAAAAAACAATGCGGAACAATAAACAGAGCCTAAGGGATCTGCAGAGCAACAGAGGAGGCAGAGCAACACATACTTTTATGACAGTCTCAAAATAGAGGAGAGAGAGAGAGATTGGAAGAAATAATGACTGATAACTTCCCAAATTTGATGTGATGTGTTACATGCAAGAAATCATAAATATGACTATTAGTAGATATCTTACCAGATATCTGGGAGTCTAGGGGTCAATAAATTGGTGTATGAGAGCACTGTAAAGAAAAAACAATTCTACATCTGGCGAAAATGAAGGAGAAATTAAGACATACCTAGGTAATGAAAAAGTAAAGGAATTTCTTATCGTGCAAAAGTGAGTCATTCAGGTTAAAATGACACTTGCTGGGCTCTGGTAGCTCACTCCTGTAATTCTGGCTACTCCTGAGGCAGCCTGGGCAAATAGTTTGTGAGGCCCTATCTTGAAAAAAAAAAAAAATCTTCACAAACAAAAAAAAGGGCTGGTGGAATGGCTCAAGGTGTAAGCCCTGAGTTCAAGCCCCAGTACTACCAAAAAAAAAAAGATGACACTTGGACAAAAACAATGACAAAAAAAAATGACACTTGGACAAAAAGACGAGCAAATGATATCTAGTAGAAGTAATACATGAACAATCATAAAAGCTAATATATCCTGGGTTGTAACTATTTCATTTTCTAATCAACACATAACTGGGAGCACAAAATGTACAAAGTTAGAGCTTAATTTGTGATTCTGTAATGCAGAGGATGGAACTGTATAGAAAGCAAGTTTTTGTATTTTGTGTAAATTGATATAAGTGAAACCATAGTGCAGCAACTAGAGTGTTAAGTGAAATCTCCATGGTAATCACAAAATAGCTATAGAATACACACAAAAGCAATTAAGAAGGGAGTTAAAACATTTTGCTACAAAAAAAATCACAAAAGACAATAGTGCTGGAAATTCGGGACAAAAAATACTAAGATCACAAAAGCCCCTCTTTTTAAGTAATTACTTTAAATGTAAATGAATTAATCTCCCCAGTCAGAAGACATTGACAGAATATACTTAAAATATGATCCAGCTATATACCCTGTCTGCAAGAGACTAGATCCAGATATACAACTAATTAAAATGGAAAAAAGAAAATAGTCAAAAGAGTGATTATGCTCATACAGACAAAACAGACTAGATTGAAATAGTTGTAAGAAGCAATGAAGTACATTATGTGTTAATAAAATGTTCAATATTGATACAACCATTATAAATATGCACCTAGTAACAGACCTTTAAAAATATGTGAAGCAAAAATTAAAAATATAAAAAACTCCCTGAAATAAATAGGTGCTGAGTACCTCACTTTCAATTGTGGATAGAACAAGTAGACAGAAACAAGGAATAGAGTACAGTAAGCCAGCCATACAACAAACCAATATTGTTCAAGGGGAAATTTTATCAGGAGATGCTTATCTGAAAAAAAATCAGATCAATGATTAGCTTTACAACTTAAGAAAGCCACCAGAAGTAAATAAGATCAGAGAAGAGGAAAATAGAAAAACTGGAAATCAAAGAAACCAAGAATTGGTTCTTTGAAAAGATTAACAGAAGTACATTTAGTACCAAGTACATTTGAGAAGACAAATTACTAAAAGCAGAAATTAAAGTAGAAACCTCACAATGCTATAGAAGCAAAAAAGTTTATAAAAGTACTATAAACAAGTATACACCAACAAGTTAGGTAACATGAAATAGGAAACTTAGAAATACAAAACCCAACAAGACTGAATCTTGAGGAAATAGAAAATCTAAATAAACCTGTTAGGTAGTTGAGTTAGTAAAAACCTCTCAACAGTCAGCAGACTACAAATAGAAGAAAACTACCTCAACAGGATGAAGATCAGGTTCGGAGAAACCCACAGCCAAACATACTAAAGATTGAAAGCTTTACTTTAAGATCAGCAGAAAGACAAGGATGCCTGCTGTCTGTTCTCTTATCTAATTGCCAGAGGAAGAAAAAAGAAACCATCAAAGGAAGTCAAATTACTCAGATGACATCATGTTTTTTATCTAGAAAGTTCTAACGATTACGCATATAACAGTATTACTAATAAGTAATTTCAGCAGAGTTGTAGGTACAAAGTCAACATGAAACAGGCAGTTTCTGTCCCCTAGTAATGACCAATCTGAAAAGGAAATTGAGAGCATTCCCATTGGTAGTAGCATAAGAAAGGATGAGAATGAAAAGATTTGTGTACTGAAAACTACAAACATTGCTGAAAAGAAACCAAAGAAGACATTTTTAAAAATGGAAGCATCCTGTGTTCACAGATTGGAAGACAATATTGTTAAAATGTACCTTATCAGCAGGAAGGCACCATGGAGCACATTTATAGGGCCTGCAAAGGGTAGACTGTTACCACTAGGGTGAGCAGGCCTGGACCCAGGTTGTTGGCTAAGTCACCTTTTGGTGCTGGAGCAGAATGGAGGCCTGGGTCCCATGCAGCCATTGTGTGACTCTGCGCAGTGTCCATCCACTGAAGGAAGTCTGAAAATGTGCCACCGTGTCAACTCATCGGCACTCAAGGACAGCCCTGAGATATGGTAGCTCTCGCCTGTGAATCTCCCATTTCCATTTCTGTACTCCTGATTCCTTTTCCTGCTGCCTCTCTTTGACCCCACTGTTTCCAGGCTGTCTTTTGAACCCCCGTTTCACACCACTGGTGACTATTTCAAACTCTCGGTTACTTCCCTAGTTAAAAGACTTTCAGGTTTTCTGCTTACTCCAAAGTTAGTATTAATCATATTCTCTCTGACAAAGTCCCTATAGTGCTGCTCATATCTATTAGCTAAGAGTTGTATGTACTTCTTTTAAACAAAAACAAACCCTGCATGTTTACATGTATTTGCTTCTGGGCTATAATCAGTTGTAGCATGACGCCCACTTTCTCCTTAAATATTAGTGTGTATTTCCTAAAACCACATGCATTTTCTTATGTAACCAGACTGCAGTTACTGAAAACAGAAAATTAACAATACAGTGCTATTGTCTATTCTATAGACTATTCAGCTTTCACAAATTGCCCCAAAAGTGTCCTTAGAGCAAAAGAACACCCTAGCTCATGCGTTACTAGTGGCCCTGTTTTATGGCCTCACTTAGACTAACATTGCTCAGATTTTATTTGCTTTTCATTTAATTCTAATGTTTTTTACTTTATAAATGGTCCTTAATTTGAATTTGCCTAATTTTTTCTCAGTACTAGATGCAAGTTATGTTTTTTAAGGAAGGACACAGATGAATGTGCACTGTTGTCTCAGTGCATGCATCATCTGAGAGCTACATGAGTTGATTTGTTCCTTTTTGTCACACAGGTAAACTTGGTGGTGCCAGGCTTTTCCACTTACTATTTCCAATTTAAACTTTCCCAATCCCTCTATACTGTAGAAGAGCAAGATACAGAAATATAGATAAAGCTCAGTGGTAGATTGCGGCCTTGCATGGTAAAGCCCTAGGCTTG